CTAATACAATGTCTGGACATTTACACTTACCAAGTAACCATTTTCAGCTGTGATTTGAGACTGTGTTGCACTTATCCCGCTCTTATTTATTTATTTTTTGTTTCTCTTGTTTCTGGCCTTTTTAGTATAGGCTTCCACCAGCTCGCTTGCGCGTGAACTCTAATTTCAAGTGAAACAAGTTTGTAAATTAGGGTGACACTATATAGGTTTGAAATCCTCTACCAATTTTATTGCCATTCGGTGAGCCACGTACGAATTTTGAAATATATCTTTTCATCCAAATAATCGATTAGTAAATCGAATAGCGATTCGGACGAATTTACTACGACGGGAAGAACGAATTTGCAAATCTCATGGCAATTAGGAAATTTCAGCCATCCTTGGTTTCCGATTGGTTGCGCTCAGTAGCGGCTCCCTCTGCACAGAGTAGCCTCGAGTCAGAATTCGCGGAGTCTCTACTGACCGGCCAAAAAAGTGCGGCGCTTCAACTGCTCCGGCCCAGACGACTTGATGTATTTGTATACGCCCATGACATCGGCCGCGATCGGCGATTGAGGTTCCGTTAGCCGACGCAAGCGTCAGCGGACGTCTCATATTTCCATACTCTCATTTAACTACAGAAACAAAAACAACAAAAAAAAATCATCCAGTTCATGTTCACTATGTTCACTACTGACAAGATAGTCGGTAGTCGACGAGTTTCCGTGCAAAGCCGATCAAAACGAGGCACCAGATCAACTTTTACGGCTGCCATCAGGAAAGATCTGGCTTGTCGCGTTCCCTCAACGTCACTCCGAATATTGTTTGTGCCCCGCGCACCATCCTCTTGTAGCAATATTTTTATTGTCCCCATGTGATTTCTTTTTTATGTTCTTACTGGTGTTTGATCATAATTCGGTCATTGAAATAGTTTTTGCTGCCGACCCTACCATTATTTTGACCCTCTGGCAGCAAAGGAATATTATGCCGGCATTACACACGAAATAAGAATGTAGACATTCCGTCCCATATCTCAAATTACATCACAATGTGTTTACACAACTGTAGTGCAGAGGTACGATGAGCAGGGTCTGAGAAAATATTAGTTTCAGTATTTTCAAAAGAGCGACGAAACAAAATAAAGAAAGGACCGCCAATCGGCAGCGCGTGCAAGCAGAGGCAGTAGTGACAGGAAGCGCGAGGTGTGTCTTTCGTACGGCCGGCATCAACTCACGCACTGTCCGAAGATGTTTTACTCGTAGGATTGCAACGCTGCGGAATGTAGGCGTGTGATTTCAGAAAGCGCGTCCTACCATTTCTACGCGCGAGTGCTCCTGCAACCCAAGCATTGTATACAGTTACGTCCTCGCGCCCGTGCCTTGGCCAGCCCCGTACACAACTTATGCGGTATCGAAAAGGCATAGTTCAAAATTGACGGTCCCACTTTTCCATACCGCTTCAAAACCCCATCTCGCTCAAATCACTTGGCAGCCGGACAATTTTGGCAGGGGGCCTCAAGTTGGGGATTATCCGGTACATTGTCCTCCCAACAATGAACGTGGGCGCGACGCGCCAGAGGGTGAACACGTGAAAGGAGGGGCGTAAGAGTGGAGAAGGAAACTCAAGGTCGCAAGCGACGGGAAAAAGGGTTTCGAAATTGGCGCGCAGGTTTTGCAGCATTTGCTCATACGGACAGCCAACGCCGCCCTGGTGGTTCAACTAATGTTTTGTTCAAGATGGCCGCCGTGGTACCGCAGCCTTAATATAGGGCCTAATTTTACCCAGAACTGGTTGAGGCGAGCATGTTGTAATTATGAATACTTAAAAGGGAAAGAATAAAAACATGGAGCACCTTCACAGACAACCACACTCTTTCATTGAAAGAGTGGGGTTCTGTTAAAGACCTCCGTGTTTTTATTCTTTATATTTTAATTAGCCAGCAGATGAAGACATTTAATTAGGGATGTGTGAGAAATGCCCTGAATATTGAATGTCACCACATCATTCATAGCCTTTGCAATGTTAGGAAAACCCACAACATACCGGCTCTTTTTTTGGTGTTGAAGCTAGGGGTGATAGTGCACTACACAATATGAAGCAGTATTTGCACACTTCCAGATTTGTGTGCTAATGAGTGCAGTTTTATGTCTGTGAAATAAAAGATACAAATAAAATTTTTAAAAGAATTGCTTTTAAGTCAGAAAAGGATGCTTTAAGAAGTGACTGGTGTTCCCAAAGTCCCGTGACTTTGTCAAAACAATTGAGTTACCGGTCCAGAATGCTGTATTTTAGCTACAGGATAGGTACCCGGCAGCGGCCATAAAGTGATATATAATTTTTCATCTGTGTGAATGCCACAAGTAGAAACCTTGCCTACCCCATCTTAGTGAAAAGTTACGGTGCACACAGCTATACTGTTAGATGAGTCAAAAAAATATAATTTGTAGCCCAACTGCCACTCAATCTTTGCTACCCTCAACACATTTACTCTGTGGATTTTGCTTTCTGGCAGTGCACTTATGCCACGTGGGCAATGTTGGCAAAGTTAAATACCCAATCCAGATAGCTGCCTTTGGATGTTTGAAATTGTTCCAAGTTTTCTGGCATTTTTGCTCGGTAGGAAGGTCGAATTCAATACTATTTATGTACTGGCTTATAATCGGTAACCAACAGTTTAGAATATTTGCACTTGTCTACTATGCTGATGCTGCTATGTGGCAGGCAGTCGCATAGCCAGGGGAAGGGCTTATGGGGTTTCAGCCCCCTTTCTTGAAACCCGACCAACCTATATAATAGATATAAACATGCATTTTGCACCCCGTGCCCCAAGTTATGGACTTCCCGGCCTCCTCAGCCCCCCCCCCCACCCCCCAAAAAAACAAAATTCCTGGCTATGCTGCTGGTGGCAGGGCTCTTATTTATTAGTACTTTTGAGAAAGACCACAAGTTGCCCATAGTTCGAAACTAATATTTAGACAAACATGAGAAGAGTCATTATTTTGGCACAGCAAACTGCGCTCAATAAAAAGAAAGGTTTCATCAAACATGGAAAATTGTCAGCTAAAGCATCCAACAAACAAATCAATTATAATGCAATTAAATGCAAAGGTGCAAGCGAGCTGGACAAGAATGACGAAAATAATCCCTGGAAAAGGGGAACAAGAGGGACAAAGGACAAACATAAATCTCCAAACACAGCTAGGCGACTGGTGAGCGACCGAAAAAATCCGCCTGGTCCGGGTATCGAATCCGGGACCTCCCCATTACAGGTGGAGCGTCCAACCAACTTGAGCAAACCAGGGTTTAGACCCGTTTGCTCTACTGACGTCTAACCCCTGGTTTGCTCAGTTGGTAGAGCGCTCCACCTGTAATGGAGAGGTCCCGGGTTCAATACCTGGACCAGGCGGAGCTGTGTTTGGAGATTTATGTTTGTCCTTTGTCCCTCTTGTTCCCCTTCTCCAGGGATTATTTTCGTCAAACAAATCAAGTCATGACAATGAGAAAATATTATTATAGAGAGGTCCCTGGACCATAGGACAACTGTGGTTGCATGGAAAATTACATGTTACTTGTACAGAACACAAACATCCTACAGAAATCCCTGGTTGGGAAAAGAATAATCATTGCTTGGTTGGCGTCCCCTTTTTAACTATTGTACATAACACGCATTCACAATGTCATGTTATGGGAATAAGATTGCAACTTACACTTGCATGGTAGTGAAAACAATAGTTAACTCATGAAATTATGTTATATTATTTCACAATCTGGTTAAAAATTGCAATTTGAGAATGAAAAATATTGCATTTGCTATATTTTGTGATTCAGAGTGCACAGGTCAATTGGCCTCGTCGCAGTTTGGTCGCAGGGAGTCGCAGTTTGGTCACCAGGGGTGACCAAACTGCGACTCCCTGATAAGCGTGCCCCTTTACCCTCCTGTGTCCACGAAACAAAAAGAGTTCTAGAATTTAAAAGAAGCTTACAGTCTTGGCAGCCTTGTACTTCACTACATAAGCTGGAGTACTTTTATACACATAGACGTGTCCAAAAACCCTGTTTCCTTTATTGTTCTAGAAAGAGTTTTGCACCGCATATGCAGAAAGGACATCAGGGGCAGTGGCTGGCTAGTGAACCATGCATTCAGTTTTGCTCAGGGGTCGCAGAGACGTTCTGCTGCCTGGTGTTATTTGTTGTAGTCGACAATTATACTAACCCCCTTAGAAGGGACTGTTCCCTCCATATCATTTCCTGTTAGAAGCAGCCCCCTCCCCCTATTTTTTTTTCTCCTGCTGCTCTCTGAACTTTTGTAGTTTTGTCTGCAACTCTAACCCCAAGTCACTTTGGTCACCCTTGCAATAAGCCATAGTGAGACAATTTTATCGCACATCTTTTTTTTTAAAGAAACTATATGCATAAAAACTACTCACTCGGAATCGGATACGAAACCGAAATCAAGGAGCATGTTCAAATCATTATTCTTGAGTATAAAGACTGGGTGCATGTTAGAATCGGGTGCACATTATAATGTGTAAATATGGTAGCTGCAAAGTACCGTAAATGTTTTGCAACTATCTTCTTTTTAGAACATGAAAACTATTAGTCACCACAAAACATGTTCTTTCCAATATCTAGCCATCTAGCTATGAAATATTAAAACACTCCACAACATAAATTCTGAAATCAATTGCAGAGCTCAGGGTTTATTATTTCCAGGACTGCCTGGGTTTCATGGCCGAGTTTTGTTGTTGGCACTCGAGTATGTTGCCCACTGTCAAGGAAAGGGATGTATTCACCATTGTTCCCCAAGAAGATCTAAGATAAAGTGTCCATGTACGAATTTCCAGTTGGTGCGGAATCGTGGTCAAGGTATCTACAATTTGGCGGAGGTCTACCATGGAGAAGGCATTTTTGTTGCCCTCCGAGTAATCCTCAATTAGCCTAAATTAACACTGTACCTCGTGGGTTTGGAACCTAAACCGCCAAAATATACTTCCAGGCACGAGAGAAGTAAATGTCCTCACCTTCATGGAGATTAGGATTGGGTTCCTGTTCTTCCCACTGAGCCACTCCGAGGCCGTCAGAGCTGGGGTCGGTGCCGCCGTGTCCGGAAACAGGTCGTCCTGAAACTGTTCCGACTGGAAACGGGCAGAAAAACATTGTATTTGGCCCACCCAGCAGCAGTTCCCATGTGCAAGATCATCATGGTAAAATGCCATTTAAGCTAGCATACCCTGGCTAATAACTGCAACAACAAAAATATGGCGTGCTGTACTTTCTATCAGTGCCGAACGCTCTGCAGAGCTTTATGCATGCCAAAGATGACTTGCTGCACTTACTGCACCCCAGTCTGTTTCCGTGTCGTCTGCTAGTGAACATCAGCTGACACATCCACAGCCCTATTAGCAGATGTAACACACAGATGAAAGATGGTGTAATGGGTGCACATCCTGCCCTTAGAGCACATAAAGCTTTGAAAATTTTACAACAGGCAGCACTGATAATACCATGCACAATGCATGCAAGGATAGTAAATGGCATGAATTCAAGTGATACGCAACCAGACATATTGGCATCCTCAGATATCAGGTTCTAATCCCAAGAACAGACCTTTTCTTGTTGCGAGTTTTTCACGCTGTGACACCTATAATGCAAAAAGCCACAGAACTGAAATCATTTGCTCGCTTTTGAGCATGATCTGTGTGGTTAAGGCTTAGAAGTTAGAACTGTTCGGTGCTCACATTAGCTTAGCAAAAAAAGACTTGCATTTTGTCAGTGATGCAGAGGATTCTGAAGATACAAATTTTACGACTTTCCTCCAGCACACTAAAAGCACTGCGAGGTTAATAATTAACATGTGACCTAAGTTTGTACATCTAAAGTTGTTTTGCAGCATATCCCCAGCTGAGCAAATAAAGAGGAACACCTTCCGATAGAAAATCTATTCATACGACATGTATAGTCATGCGCAAATGACGGAGCCTCAACCAAATGATTGCAGCACCCAAAAGTGGAGGAAAAGGGAATTGTTAAGAGGGACCAATTATAATATCCAACTACATACCTTATGTCTATGCATCAAGGGCACTAGGTTCACGCTGTGCCATGACACAGCACAATGCAAACATCAACAACAAAGCAGCCAATCGGAATCATTGAATGTCAAAAGCCCCTTTGTGAATGATAATCCTAATGACCACAACCTGTCCTTCATATGCAATCGCCGATGCTACCATATTTACTCGAGTAATACCCACACTATTTATGAACAAGGCCCTTGCATCTACTTTTCCACAGAACACATATATAGCCAATCATTGCGTTGTGCATAAATAACATAGCGAATAACCAGATCGCGAACATGATTCTCTATACAAATGCAATCTTCATAGATGGTATCTTTGCACGAAGACGATATCTCTGTCCTATAAACAGCTGGAATCATGCTGTCGATCGCAGTGATTGGCAATCTGCGTGCTCTGGGAAAAAGCGAACCCTCAGGTTTTTTTCATAAACAGTGCGGCTAGCTATTACTCGAGTAAATACGGTATGTGGAGACATGGAGGCAAGGACAGCCAGGGACCCAGAAAGCTCTCCAGAGCAGCATACCTCCCGTTCTCGCCGAATCAGTACCGTTAAGTTCTACTAGCTGGTAACAGGCCTTGGAGCACCCAGTATATCACTCTTCTTTTGACGACGACTGTACTTGAATTGTTGTTGATCATTAGTTAAAACAAATTGCAGAAAAATAATCTGCGCAAGGGGTAGGGGCTAGCTGTCTAACTGCTTTCCTGCAATACAGCAGAGCAAAAGGGAGAAGCACTTTTCTAAGACCTGTTTTCTTCTCTGCTACTTGAAATAAAAACCAGGCCATTACTGTTCATAGTGCGGAATAGTAAAACAATACTGTTATTTTTTATATCACATTAGTGTAAGAGAATTTTCTTTATATAAAGTTTGGGGTATTCTCTGAAAGCTAAGCTAACTAATATTCTCTACGAAGCCAAGTGGAATATAAAAAATTGCAACCCTTACAGAAGACTCTTTCAAGGTCTTTGCTGTCGGGATGGATAGCAGAACAGCCTCTGCAGGGGGACTACACCTGGAGATGTGTTCCGCCCTTCCCACTGTACATCCTCATGTGTACAATTATCACAGTTCTACAACAAACTACAGTGTGTCCCTATAAAATATTTAAAGTGGTTTCTTTTACAGCGAAGATAAATAATGCACCGCCGAACGCCCAGTCTCTGCCCGAGTGTAGCGCTAGCAGTCCGGACCAAATGTCAGGGCTGCAGAACTAACCGCGGGGGCCGGTTCTCGGTACTTTGCACCATTCAGACTTTTTTGGACACTATTTTACCACTGAAAATTTGCACTAATTTAGCTTGATATTACTGCATTCAGTGTGCCATTGCACTAATGAAACCTATAACTACAAGAGAAAGTTGACATAAAAAATCCTCGCTAAATCTCAAATTTGAGCTAAAAATCGCCAGAATCTCACAGTATATAAAGACATATGCGAGGGGCATACTATATTCATTTACAATTAATCTTCTCGCTGCAGCTACCGGCCACTTGGAGGCCGCTAGACATATCCACCTTCTCGAAAGACTCGTACGGGAGCCAAATGCACTTGCACCACCTGTATAAAAGACTTTTCATGTCCTGCTAGAATCATTTTTTGCAAGTGCACACCACACCCACACCTGGACATCTGCTTCCAGCTCACCAATAACCACAAAACGGCTTCTTTTTATGGCCCCGAAAAGGTGATAACCAGTGGGGGCTATATCGGACCATAAACATGCACAACCATATGCTTGACATTTCGTACTACGCATCGGAAAGATGCCCAAACATTACTAGGCACTGCGTCGCATGCATTTTTGTGAAGCAGTGATTGGCCGGCAGCTGATAAGGTTTGGTCGTTTTTCTGACATGTCCTATGACGTGTCGGACGTTTTGTCGCGCAGATGTGTGGCCTGATCTGGCCCCCAATGGTTATCACCTCTTCAGGGTGATAAAAAAAAAAAAAAAAAAAAAAACCTGAAAAAGACATTTTGCTGTCATCAGCCGCATTTACATGAATGTGACTTCGGCGCATCAACTCTAGTCATTCTTGGAATGAAGCCGATACGTCACCGTTTGCATGGATGCGCATCAAGTCTTACGCGAAGGTCGCACCACGCCATATCTTAAGCTGCCTTTCGGTAGCAGCCGCGTGACCACATTTTCCAGTGTTACTTGCAAAGGCCCTTTCGATGAGCAAAAAGATTGTGCCCACTGTCTTCGGTGCTGTGCAAGAAGTGGTGGGACGCAAGAAACATCAAAACCCAAGCTTTCGGCTTTGGTCTGGGCCACTCTGGAACAGTTTGACGTAGGAGCGCATGACCTGCCAAGAGAGATTGTTTTCAATCTCTGGCAGGACGCCACTGCGCCTTGCCTTGCCACGCCAACCACCGCCAGACCCCAAGGCCGAGAGGCCCTGGCACAAGAAGGAATGGCACTGAGGTACATGGTACATGGCACATGGTAACGGCTGCTTGTTCTGCGGTATCAAAGCTTGAAACTCTCGGCGCCAATCCTGCTTGCGCTGGAACTTCAGAAACTCCCCCCGACGCGCAAGTCGTATCTGCAGAGACAGGATGGGGGCCGCCCTCACCTAGCAGCTTGTTTATAATGACCTGAGAAGCTTACATTTCTTCCCGGGAGAAAATTGTGGCCAAACACCCGGGACCGCACTCCGCCGCCGCCGCCGAGACTGGCCACCGCCACGTTCTCGGCTGTTCACTCGCTCCCACAACGAGCAGCTTCCCATAACCCTCTTTGTTCCCACATGCGATGCGGCCTTCATTTAGACGGGCTGAATGGACGCGGATTTGTTGTTTTGATCCACTTCCATCTAGCGGCTTTTATAACCGCATTGAATCTAACGATTGAAGCCGATGTGCTTTAGTCGCATTCATGTAAACGTGGCTACTGATGAGCTGGAAGCGGATGGCAAAGCGTGGCTGTGATGCACTTCCAAAAAGTGTTTCCAGCAGGGCATAGAAAGGCTTTCACACAAGTAGTGGAAGTGTGTACGGCTCCAGGGAGTCTCTGTCATGAAGGTGGTCATATCTAGCGAGCTCCAAGTGGTCAGTATCTGCAGCAAAAAACATCCAGCCTTTCCACTCTGGTGAAGAAGGAAGACCAGCAAACCTGTACTATGGCGAGAATGAGTTAATGGCCGGCCGCAAGCCAGAGTGGAAAGGCTTGAAAGGTTTCCCCACCATAAATGAGTGACGGCGGCAAACAGACAACCGGCAAGCCAGTTGTCTGGTTGCCACCGTCACTCATAGATGGCGGTAGCTGTCCGGAGTGTTGTTGACATTTATTTGCTGGCGGACATGATCCTAAGGAAACTAGACCTTAAAGGAGGTGTGCAACAATTTTAACGTTGAAATAATTGGCATCTTCTACTTTTGACATTGTTCACCTTGTCACAAATAACAGAAAACACACCTCCTTCCATCAAAATGTTGCGATTCCGCCGCTTAATAGCGAGGCAAAAATTAGAATATTCCCCGACCTGCAGCCGCAAGCGGCGACCATGAGAAACACGCGGCATGACGTCAATGGGGCTCGTGTAGAAAGATAGCAAGTTGTGCAAATACTTGCTCGATAAAAGGTAACTTTTCTATAAATCTTGTCGTTCCAACATAAATATAAATGCGTCAAAGACCTGCTATCATCGACAAAACTTCTATTATACGGAGTTTTAGTGGCGCCATCTATCCTAGGTTCACAAAACCGTCAGCTCTATCTGCTATCGCGTACAGCTGCCAAAAGCCGGAGGGGGACAGGGCCGGACGGGTATGGCCGGACCCGGATGAGACTTTCCTCCTTCCACCATATTGTTTGCGCTGCGCCCGCCAGCACGTGGCCACGCGGACGCAAGCGGATGAGTTCTCGCTGCTCACTGATGGCTCTAGAGAGAGAACTTTACCGGAACCCCGCGCCTACCCCATCGATGTCACTGCGCACGTGACCCGGAAGACAATGTATGAGTTGAGAGGTGGCAAAAACCTGGATCTTTTTCATTTTTTTAAAATAAAAACTAGGGTATCCAGGCAAAATCTGTTTTCTGTAGTTCACTTCAGAAGTGTGAGGCATTAACTTCCACAATTATTTAATGCAAAGCCGTAAAATTGTTGCACAGCTCCTTTAAGAGGTCCACTGTAAAAAGTTAATTGTAAATCGATATGGTACACCCCTAGTACTAGCGGGAGTTTTATTCGGAACGTTTTTACTGCAAGGCAACACCCAGCTCTGGAGGAGAGCTTTCCCCTTAGCATGCAGCTGTGCTGCAGTGAAGCAAGATATGCAAATTCGCCATGCCTACTCCGCGGTCTCGCTTCATTGCAGTGCACCAACGCACGGTGAGAAGCGCACTCAACGGAGCTACCTAACCCACCAGAACAGATCACGGAAATATTGCGCGACCTTCGAGTACTGTTTGCGTTTGAAACAGAAATCAAATCGAGTGGTATGTTATTTAGATTAGAGTCGAGCTTTTAAAATTGGGACAAGCCTACTATAACAATCCACTCCTGTAGCAGGGCCTCAGCTATTCTATTCTCAGTATTGACAAAGTGTAATTATGTTTTGGCATAAAGTTGGTGCAAATTTTTCATCAGATTTTTGCAAAACGTAGCAGGGTAAGCACTTTGGCACAGTTTGATGCAACAATCACATCACTGCCAATGTCGGAGTTTTTTCTGCAATGGTGCACATTTGCTTTCTTTAACTAGTATACTTTGTACAGGGATGGTGCTCATTTGTGCATGTCTGAAACTTTTTGACTATTAATATTTTCAGCGAGTTTTTATGTAATGGGCACTTGTTCTGTGAACTTGTGTGGGCTTTGCCGTTTCTTCCTTTCTGCCCTTCCTGCTTGGAACATCTGTTCAGTCTGCAGTAGGTAATAAATAAATAAAAGATTCAGAAAAAATCCAAAGAAAGGACAGCATTGCAGAGAGGCAGGCACCTTGCGGGGCACGATCATGGAGATGGGCTCGCAGAGTCCCCTGGTGGCGTGCAGCTTGTAGAAGCGGAAGACCTCGCAGCTGCGCACATCCAGGCCCCGCTTGGGCATGACACCAAGGCCCCGCTGGGGGCAGCCAGTCAGAAACTGGCTCAGGTAGTGGCACCAGGGGGCCTCCTGGACCATCTCGTAGTAGCGGATGTTGCCGTCGCCCTGCAACACGTGGCACGCATGTAATACGGGCCATTCACGGGAGGCCTCGGTTGTACAGAGCACGACACTGTTAGCGCGAACAAGCGATCGCCGGTTTTTCCAGTTTTTCTCTTTAAAACCAAGGGATGTCATCCAAGTTATTATTGCTATGGAAAAAGCTCATTTAGTTCTATAATGTAAGCGATAAAAGTTTGTGCTCGCTAATGCTATTTAGAAGTAAAATTCGAAAATGCGCCGATGTCGTGTTCGCGCTAACAGTGTCGCGATGTGTACCTCAGCAAGATTACAGACTGGAGGCAGACGGAGTTTGACTCCGGTAATGCGTGAGGCTCATTGTTACTGGGTGTCATCCAGACAGGTAACAAACACTACAGTGAAGAAGCAAAATGAGGGTTATTTAATTGTTAGAATATAGAAAACGTCGCCTAGCAACACCATCTTATTTCTTGGTTTGGTCGTGTCTGTCTTTGGTTAACCCTACTGTTATTTTATTACAATTCATTCAACTTAAAAATACAACTATTAGAACACAACCTTATGAACAATGATTTGCTCTTTTTATGGTTGCAGTGGTGCATACTCGGGTAAATTACTTTGAAAATTTAATTTAATTATAATCACAATTATTTTGCTCTTAAAGTAGTTAAAGTAGTAAGAGCGTTGTAATCGCAAATTAAAACTTCGACGTAGCCCTGCCCATTGCAGTGCGCCGAGCGCAGGAGAGTGCAAGAGGGGAGAGAAAAACTAGCAAGAGCGACGTCACTGGTAAAGTCAGATGACCTTGCCTGCCACTAAGTTGTCTCGGGGATGTCGAAGGTGGCTTTACGATGCTTTGGACAGATGACGGGCGGCAGAAAGACTTTCCGCATATCCTGCAGAAATTGCTGCACATATTTTTCAAAATAAATGTGCCCTACGTTTATTTCTGCCCAAGAAAAGTGTGGTAACAATTCACGGGACAAAAGGCTATAGAAGTCAGCTCCTAACTCAGATTTCTTGAAAAGTGTTTCAGCTTCCTTTTAACGTTGTAATGTCCTTTAGCAGTGAAATGTGTTTGTACATTCCTTGTCTGACCCTTGAGGATGTGGTGTATGAAATTTAACATTCATCACATCTTGTACCTTTGTATTGCATATTTTATTACAGGTATGAGAGCAAGTTCCGAGTGTGATACTACAGTCTAAGTTTATTATAACAGACCTGGTTACAACAGACATTTGGATATAACATACCGATTTGTGAGGTTAGGTTGGTTTTCCTCTATGCACCTATGACTCAACTTCATATCTGCATACAACATAGTACTCCTTCTACAACAGACCAAAATCTTGGTCAAAATCAAGGTCTGTTATAACGAGCTTAGACTGTAGTCAGATATCTTATTATTTTGCAACACTATTCAGATCGCTAGCATTCTTTTTACCTCTGTGGTTCAAAGTAAAAGAGATCTATTTGTGTTACTAGGCACTGAATGAACCTCATACAGGCTAAACTCTTAAATAATCCTAAAAATGACCAACACAAGTCTGGATAAGATATTGCCGCGTGCGCAGCTAGCCCAGTCGGCAGCACACTTGTCTCCCACGCAGGTGACCGGAGTCCGATGCCCGGCGCTGCTCATCATTTTTATCTTTATTTACGTTACATGCTGAGATTTTCCAGAAGAGTTGAGAATCTTGTTAGTTATTTGGGAACGAAATATTTGATGCCCAAATATTCTAGACAGATTGTTCTAGACTCCCGTAAGACGAGAAAAGAGATTGCGCCGTGCTGCATGCGATCAGTCTCGCTCCTGCGCTCGAACCTGCAGCTACGCCGACACCTGCAACGGTATGTTGTCATCTTTTAATGCAAAGCATTAGCTGACTCATGGAGCGACCTGACGTCGTTAGTTTGAAGCGCGAAAACGGCCCTTAGTTTCCGCGATCCCAATAGGAGCGATTTGCCTTCAATTCCATTGGCTGGCCAAGTCGACGGGGCTCCCATTGGCCGTTGCGCCATAGCCTCCGAGATCCCGAAGTGCGTGCGCTAGTACGCAGCAGACGACAAAGGGAGCAGGTGAGCGGCTTGCATGCTTTCGCATTCACGACTTATAAGAAATGCTTAGCTGTACCTCGAGCCTTTTTGTTTCCTTTTTTGGTTTGGCACAAGTTCACCGAGTTAAACGTTACAATTTCCTCAGTCATTTTTTGTTATGTCTCCTCGTCACTACTGACAATATTCAATGTATAAATCCCAATCACATCGTTCTGAGTTTTTTTTTTTTTTTTCTATCCTGACATGTAAGGCCCTCTTGCTTTGTGTGGTGCACCTTCTTTGCCCTGTTGGGTGCTGTGGCAGTTGCTCAGCTGTGTATCAATGGTTGGCACCCTGGTGCAGCCTTGTTTCTCTTTCAAAGTGTAATAAGTTTGCAGAAGGAAATTAGGCAGACGTTAAGTGTACTTTTGCCTGTCGGGGACCTTTTAGAACAAACCTCCAGTGTGATAAAGTTATAAAAAAGTAGTCATGATTGTAGTTAAAATTTTGCAATTACTGAGGTCACAAAGTAGTTAAATTACAACTACAATTAGTTTTTACAAAAATGTTTACAATTATAAATTATGGAGAAAAGTAATAGTATTACAGAAATTAAATCAGTACAATTGAATTACCACACAAGTATGCAGGTAAGGGGTCAGTTGATCTTCCGCCACCGACGTGAGGAGCCTGATACTGCTTTCCGTTTTAGGTGCAGGCACAAGTTTATCTGATTAATCATTTTTATTTGCAGGTTTCATGTATGCACTTACATTTTCTTTTTATTCATGAAAATATACTACCAGCAAAAAGATAGAGCATTTAATATCAGATGCATCGAATGTGCATAAATCGTTCCATGTACAGCACTCTGGCATATAAATTTAGTGAAAAAGGATGCATTTTGCACAAATCTTGAACGCAGCTAAAACTTTAGAGCAGGAAACAACAGGTCTAAAATTGGCCTAGACGAAGCTATGCATTACTGGGAGCTCCAGGATGAAGTCATCAACTTAAAATGTGCCGTGCAGCCAGGAAATAAGCAAGTGCTCCTCAAATCTTCCCTTCTACTTTAGAAAGAAGAAATTCCCTCGTCCTTTCTGCGGAAGTTTATTCTTGGGCCCATTTCTTTAGGGTCAAGGAGGAGGGACGAGCAGGAGAGGGAGGAATGGAGAGAAGGGAGAGCAAATTTTCTGCCAAGCAGAAAATGATGTAGTTGCTACTGCTTGATCTTCAACTGTGGGCAACCACACCTATCTGTGCAGTCGCTGTCTCTCCAGCTGGTTCATACCGTAAAATACCACAGAAGCGCCCACTTCGTTCAAGCGACCACTATTAACATTTCCCAAACTAGAGAATTTTGCAAACTATATATTAACTGCCCGATTTGGCCAGACAAGCGCCACTGTCTACACTAACCCAGTTTTCAGTGAAAGTGGGGTGGGCTCTCCTCTGGTATCTTACGGTAGTTCCCTGGTAGCTCACATGGTTCTGTAGAAGTCGTGACAATGTTTTAACGTATTATGAATGTCTTTTGAATGTGTGCCACATCCAAGTAAACAGCCCCTCACCTTGCCAGCCACGTAGACCATCTTGGTGTCATGGTCGTAGTACGGGAACAGGACTCCGGAGGACGAGTCAATGGTCTCGGTCCTCAGGGGCTTCGACAGGTCGTGCTGTGAGCGTAAAAGGTGGGCTTCAGATGGGACAATCTGGCAATTTGCAACTTGATGGGATGATCTGAACCTAAATACTAGAATAAGGAGGATTTATTGAAACAAGCAATATCAAGGTAAACATATTGGTAAGCTTCGTAAGAGCTGACTGCAAAAGATACATGAATGCATGGCTTTCTGGGTTAATGGCACCAGAATTGCAAAAAATCAACTTCACCATTTCACAAAAAAAAAATTTTTTTTTCCCACTGTGAATGGTATTTTGTTAGCTACCGAGAGGCCTGGAAAGTATCCAGCCATTAAGTATCAAAAACCCACAACATTAAATAAATTTTTATACTTAAGGAAAGGCTGCAAACTGTGCCCCTTGACTGCCTTTCTCTGATGTGCGGTTGACTGCACAGTGCGGAGACATGTATACATTGAAATGAAACTCGTCCAGCACGTAAAAGAATTTGAGAGCTTTTCAAACCAGTCATAACATTGGCGCCCCAAATTTCATATTTGTGAAGGACTCGAATAAGCAAATAAACAGCCTTAAAAAAATACCGGTAAAAAGTAAAACCTTACCAGCAAAAGTGCTAACAATTTGAGATTCAAAAACAGTTGCAGTACAATGTGAAACGATGTATTTTTAGTAAAAATCTGAAATTGCGTGACCTCTAAAGACCAAGTGATGTGCACACATTAAAAAACCAGCAATTGAAGTTCGCCATATTTGTTTTCCTTCCGAGGCCAGGCTCTTAAAGACTGCCAGTGCCACAATATTTAACCTGTGGCTCTCAATTGGAGGGGAAATGTGGGATGGACTTTCTTATCTGTAACCAAAGACCATGCAGACTTTTCCCACTGTATTCCACCCACCTGAGACCAGACGGCCCACTGTCTGTCGCTGAATCTTGAGAAACCGGTGGTGAACATGCGCCCTGTGTCGCCCAGGAAAACCACCTTGGCAGCTTTAGAGCCTTGGTGACAGACACCTTCCTGCACAAGCGTCATCAAAACTTTGTAAGCCAGTGGCGTCTTTTAACCTGCACTGGTGCATCACCATGGCAACCCAAGAACTAAAAGATATATTCTTAATTGTCTTTTCTGTTTTCAAGATTTTATTTTTATATTTAAACATCTTAATCACTCTTTATATCATGGAACTGTGATAAGTGATTCATACGTTGGTGCTTGTATAATTCTGAATATATGAGGGGCAAAAATTTGGGGTTCTTCCTTAGCGTCAGATATTCACAGGTACTAACAACTTGCCACTATGCCGTCTCTGGACCCCTGTGCATTTCTAATTACCTTCTTTTTTTTGTTTTTGCCTTTCACAATTTTCGCAATTTGTTAGTATTACTTAGCTAGCTAAAATGTCTTTCACAATCCTCGTAACCCGCGGAAAATTTATACAAAAGGTGCTCTAAGGCTACAAGGGTGTGATATGCTGTGGCACTCTCAGAGTATCAACTTGAGCCAAACAAGGTGAATACACATAAAAATTAGGAACATGGAACCAGAGACAACGTTTTGTTAGATTTCATGTCGCTCAATGAGTCAACAATCAATTTTTAAGACAGCTGTCTCGGCTTAGACATGTACGATGCAAACGGTCCATTCAGATTATGTTGCACATTCTACAGAAGGTTGGGCCCTAAGTTAATGGCGGGACCAAGCGGAACCAAAAGACTGGGACATTGCTTCTCAGATCAGAACCCCAGATCAGCAAAAATCATTCTCCAGACTTAAAAACAAAATATCCCGGCTGCTTGTACTGCACCACGTAACGCATCAATGTTTGTTGGTTTCAATACGCCTGCAGCAAAACCTGCTATGCCCTCTGCAGTGCCGAAAGGAATTTTGGGAAGTATAGCTGTATTCACCGCATTCAGCGGGAGTTGGTAGCACAACGGCACCACTGCATTTGGTGCCCCAGTAGGCCTCCGGTAGAGTATTTATTTGTTCTCCAGCAACGCACAGTGATCAGGTAAGATTTTCCTACAGAGAAGTACCTGTAATACGCTTGTAAGAGCCCGCGCGCCTTGCAGAACATAGTACATATAACAAAAGGATGTGGGACACAAGGAAAAGAGAAGGAAAACCGGAAGCGCGCAGGGGTCTGCCGATAGCGGGTGGGAGCGAGCTTGTTTGCAAACAAACATCGGTGAATAATCCGTCGCCTACCATAGGTCATTACAGTGGACGCTGCAAGTTCAATCACCAGGCACACGAGTCCCAGTAGAAAGCTGATGCTGCACCCATGTCCAGTCTGCCCCATGTTGGTCTCTGGAGACAAACAATCCCATACTATGACCTTGTCACCTTGCAGGTGTTGGGTAGGGTTTGCGGGAGCAAGGAAGAGCATATGGGACGTTCCCATAACTCGTTGAGTGCTTTGCGCGTCGCGAGTTTGTTTTGGCGGCCACCAGAGGACGCAAGTTGCGTCCCATTTGTAAGTTAATTTATTCTTGCGTTTGAAAATCGGTCCCTTTCCAGTTGGAATATGTAGCTGGTTTTAGCTGGATTGTATCTTTTCCAGCCGAACCCAGCTGGGACCAGTTCAACGATCCGACTATGGATAGGCCGATTTTGACCCGGTGGGGACTTCCCCTAAATCGTTTCCCCCCACTTCTGGTGTAGATAAATTTATTCTTGCCTTTGAAAATCGGTCCATTTCCAGTTAGATTATGTAACTGGTCTTAGCTGGATCCAGCTGGATTTTATCATTTCCAGCCGAACCCAGCTGGGACCAGTACAATGATCCAGCTACAAATAGGCTAATTTTGACCCGGTAAGGACTTCCGCTAAGTCATTTTATCTTTTGGGATTTTTGAGACTCGTCCGTCTGCCCCGGTGAGCCCGCTTGGACGCCCAGGGGGTGGGTGCACTGACCCGTATGACGTTTCCCGTGCGAGGGTCGATGACCCTGAGCTTCTTGTCCTTGCAGGTGGTGGCCAGCAGACTCCCGTCCCGGTTGAAGGACATGGAGTGGATCGAGTCGGGGTGGCAGTCGATGGTGCGCACTGCCTCAGCACGGCTCACGTCCCACACCAGGATCTGGGGGAAATGGGCCACGTTTATGCATCCAGGCCAGCTGTGGGCTGAGTGAATGCTCAACACCGTGAAAGCCTTAATTTCTGCAACTGGTACAGTTGCTACATAACTGAACCATCTTTAGACTAAGCCTCCTGATCCCTCCGATGTTGAAAAAACATTTTAATGTTCACACATTTTAAGATATGGCAGAGATATCGTCTATGTCACTCTTTTATTTAAAAAAAGAAAAGCACTAGTATTTTTTCTTGTTGCTCTAAAAAAATAAAGTGCATTTCAATTTTCAGTATAATTCCCAATAAGAAAAATCAGCCCCATTGTTCTGATAAGCTCGAAACTTTAAAAACTTGGAACACATATATAATATTGACTATATAAAACAGGAAAATAGCTGCCACCTAACAAGATTAGTCAGGAATTCGTTTTAAATTTTGAGCAATTGGGTGTTAATCTGTATAGGAAGAATTCCAGCACCTCATGTAGCAGCGACTAACGCAATATCGGCGACACAACTCTACCAAGTAACGAGTAGTAAGCTGCTCTCCCTGCATTACTTCCATGTAAGGTGGGAAAAAGCTACCCCATTGAAAGGCGGCTTAACCTAGAGTTTACGTGAACTCAAAAACTTGTGAAACCACTGCTAGCATAATGTGCGCACCAACAATCATATATGTGAAAAGCTGCCCGTAGCAACAAGTCGGTATAACTCTCTGCTGTCATTATAGAATGTTTGACATTGGTGTCTCATACTGACATTTATTCACCCATTGTCTCAGTGGTGGTTCAGCCTTGCTAGTTGGCAGCAAACACAATAAAAAGAGCTCATGCATATAGGTTTCTCATTCTTTTCCTTCAAACGTGACACATCAGTTTCAAAGTGATTAAAGCCGAGCAGGTGTAGCTAGCTCCAGCTGCGCGTCATCTCAGATCGGAGATCTGGCCTAAGCAAGCAGCCACTGCTGACATATAAGTGCTTACTTGGTATTCTACGGTGGTCATACAAACGCTTGGCTCGGAGCGAGGACTCCTCTGCACTAGGGGGCAATGCATATCTCATCTGCATAAACACTATGTGCCACAGAGCTGTGCTCACACTGTGGTCAAACCCAGCGCTGAGGAGAACGTGCTCTGCTGTCGGGTGCCACTCCACGTAGCCAACCCGTCTCCGGTGCCCTCGCAGGTCCACCAGTGGATCCACCAGGCTGGTGTTGCGGGGCAGTCCCTCGTCCGGGATGTACCACAGCTTCACCTGAATACCGCAAAGGACAGAGACTTGAGGGATACAACAGACACTGAAAATAACTTCAGAAGGATCGCTGCAGCAGGCATAATGAGAAGCTTATATATGAGCAATGCAGAGTTATATGCAAACTGCCTTTACGAGGCAAGAACACCTAAAATCTGTGACAGTTTTAACTTAGGGATCACTAGGTATGTGCGAATACTGGATTTTGAGTCTGAAGCAAATTCGAAGTGAGTAGTGGTCTCGGCTGAATATTTCCTAATCGAATATTGAATAGTTTTTCTAAGCCTTTCACTACTGTTGCAACATTGTTAAACAAAAATCCTGCTGAACTTGTGAAAGTTGTTTCTAAGCTTCCACTTGTCCACCTCTAAGCTCAGTTAATGACCTCAGAAAGAGAATGGCCTCAGAATGGTCTCATAAAGCAAGGGGAAGCGAGTAAATGACGGATTTGACATAAAATGAAAGCTACCATAAAATCCCGAGAGAATAGGGGTGGGTTACCCTCAAAAAGGTAACCCACCCCTATGGTTGGCTTGATTTGCTATTTTCTTTTAAACACCGAAAGATGACCCACTCCTAGTAATTGCAGTGTTGGGATCAATGATAACCTCAGCATATATGCGTCTAGTTAGCTATGGCGGGATATAAGTGAACATTGCTGACTGGTCAGTACAGTCATCTTTGCTTTATTGCTCCGCCGCGATAACAAGTTTGGCAGGGACACATAATCTTAAAATAGCATTTTTTTAAGACTTTTCGCGATTGCACTCCGAAAATTAACCCACTCCTTATATTTGCCCAATTTTCTCTCGATTTTAGGTGGGCTATCTCTTGGGATATTACGTATAGATATTCCTGACTATACGTAATTGAGGGGATTTATAAATCTTTTTGCTATATGCAACTATCCTTTCTTCAATCAAGAATTTGAAAGGAAACAAAATCACGAATGAGGAGCATGGGTTGTCAGGACATGCTGCATAGCGTCTACTCTTGAACAATAGCCACATTTTGATTTGTAATGTTTTAGTGCAACGTTGATATTAACATTCACAGACTTCCTTTCTTTGTAAATACACCAGATATGTGTGTGCACTGCCCTACTTTGAAAGTGTGCTTTTTCCCCTAAGCACACGAATATGCTGCAGTGAAGTGCGGTTCGCGGGATTGCAGTGTCAGCTTTACCGTTATTGCTTCTCCACAGAGCACCTGTGCACGAAGAGAAGTGCACTCAGTGGGGCTAACCCGCCGTGATTGAAACTTATAAATATAAGAATACTGTAGTCCATCTTGAAGCGAATATCGAATGGCTTATTATTCTAAAATACTATTTGAAAATTCGAATAATTGCACAACCGTAGGTTTCACATGTTGACTTATCTTGTTTTTTGTATAGTATATATCAACACGCGGCTCTGACATCATTCCTCTGCAGTGGCGCTGTTGTCGCCACGGCACATGCGCCAAAACTTTACCTCATTCGAATCTGGTTTCTGTTTTCACAACGCCCACACCTGCTGTGGGAAAATGCGGGCTTGTTTGTAAACAGTGTGTGAAACTATAGGAGGTAACCACAAGATTATGTGCTTCAGAAGAATATACATTCCTTCTTACCCCAAACGATAACCGCTTGAAATACGCTTTCCTCAGACCTAACTAGGGTTCCTTGTTTTCGGTAAACACTGGTAAACTTCGATAAATAACCCTCGAAGCAGTCGTCTCAGAATCATGGAAAACAAAAAAAAACTTGAATTTGATCTGCCCTTGAATAGGGAGATTCCCGGTTTTATGAAAAGAAATCTGCCAAATAGTTTTTGCGACCCTGAACACAACCTGTACTATCTGTCCTTGAGGTTGCTTTCTTTTCTTTGGGAACCACGTCACTTGCCCCGGGCTCCCGTCATCTCCTTTTGTCGGTACCGGGATGAAGTTTCTCAAGTATTTGGGTAACGGGCGTAAGTTCCATGGACCCTAGAATGGGTTAGAAATTTATAGATATGCGATCGTTGTACTATAACATTAGCCCCGGTAAACCTTGATTTGTTGCCCAGCACTGAAAATAAACACTATAAAACATAGATTCTGGAAAAGATAATAAACCCCGGAGAAACACCTCCGAAGTTTAAGAAAAATAAACCCCGAAAACACGGAACCCTAGACATAACTCATCCACATTCACTTGATCTATCGTTTTCTGCGTCAGCTAACTGCCAGATGATGCTAATATGCTTATTTTTGCGCTCTTATAATAAGCTCGTTATTCAGATATGTGCGATGTGTGCGGCCGACTTTTCCTTTTACACCTCTCTTACCACATCCCTAGAGACCAACACGCGGCTCTGACGTCACGTAGCTGTGGTGGCGCTGTTGACGGTACTGCATGTGCGCAGACGCTTCACTTCACGTGAATTCGGTTTCTGTTCACACACAGTGCCAACATCTGGTGTGGGCAAACGCGGGCTTGTTTGTGAACAGCGTGTCGGTCTAGACAAAAAGGCAGTAATAAATTAAGAAATAAATAGCCTCGTCTGCATAGGAACCTGAATTTTTACATTAAAGAAGGAAGATACAACATGTAAACAACACTGCACACCTTTTTGGTGCTGTCAGCAGGTGACTGAACTCTTAGAACAAATAATTTAAATGTTTACGATTTTGATTTGCAAGGCCCCTGCTAAACAAATAAATATTTTGAAGTACAGCTAGATATTGACAAGGATTATAATGATGACACTCAGGTCTGAGTTCTGTTATCTACTTTATCCTACAAACATGTACCTGCCTCAAAATCATTATGCAAGTTAATTCGAGACTTTTTGCATGTTTCTTGTAGAAGACCCTTTGACATTGACAGACCTACAGTATTACAGCTTTTGTTTAAACCTCCCATTCACCACATTGCATCTCCTGTACCTGGCCATAAATTAACTTTTCCGGTATCGTTTGAATATGTTTTCTTTCACTCATGACCATGATCGTTTTACTTCCCTGTAGGGCAAATGTGTTGCGCAAAAAAGCACACAACAACATTTTATCTCAAGAATGGGAGGGTGGCATATATGAAAAATGTTGTGACCAATCAGCTTTAATGACCTTTCACATTCTAACTCCTTAATGAGGCTACATTCAGAAGACACCTCTTGTACTCACATTAGAGAAGCTGCTCCACATTCTGGCCTTAGAAGTTACCCCAGTATTTATAATAACTTCAGCTGCACTTGGTGCACCCACATCTGGTACCTTTCAAACGCCTCATGTGCATACTTGTCCCCTCCGCAGGTAAGTCTTGTACAAGACTAGACTGACTACCAACATGTCATCAAGCTTCCATTTTGGCCTCCATGGCACAGGGCACATAATTCAAAACGGTGGTTACTTTCACATAAAATCTCTGTGGAGTCACTCATGGGTCATGACCTTAGTTGCTTTGTGATATAATGTCCCAATAGTATTACTTTTCCCTTGAAAGGAATTTTATAAAAATTTCATTACGGAATTTCAAATGAAGGACTTTTGGACTTCATACTCTACATTTCATTATTCTGCTTTTCAATGGTTCTTTAGTTAAAACTACCTTAAATGGTATGTTTCTCTCTTCATGCTTTGTATACTTTAAGTTTTGTTGTGTCCTCGTTTCGAATTTAGAAATGTCATACAGTATTTAAAAGTCTTTAACAAGTATGCAAGCAGAAAATTCTATGAAACTTACTGTGCAGTCATCTGAGCATGATGCAATCACATTGTCATTGAATGGGTTCCACTTTAGGTCAAGCACTGGTCCCTTGTGGCCTGTCACCTTGCCAGCAGAGACCTCCACTCTGCCAGTCTGCATTCATGAGACAGAAATCAAAAAGTTCACAGAGCAGATTAGCACCCTCTCTCAAGGTGAGCAAGTTAGACATCCACTGTTCAATATATAAACAAACTTATAGGTGCAGTATCTAAAGGAAGCACAAAAAGTCTCAACTCCATAAATTAGCACTTAAAACTTTCTTCAAAGCTTCTAAATACGACAAACCACAAACTCACAAAAACCATTTATGAAAATCAATAAGTGTATGGTTGTCCTTGTGAAATTTGCCAAGATGCCTCACAATAAAACGAACTGTGATGAAAGATGCATTTGACTATTTGTAGCAGGTTCTGTAGCAGACAAAATATTGGTTTGCAGCAGCCACTGATGCTTTTGCTGCATATGCCAACATTTTGTTAGCACATCGGTTGAAAATTAAAAAGTGATTGCACTGCTAAATGAGTTAATCTTTGGTAATGACTGAGGGTTCCTTTTTGACACTGGGGCTTACTCCTTATTACCTTTGGCAATAACAATAGATAGGGTGCAAAAGTAACACAAACCATCTTTTTAGAAATAAGGCTCCGGAGAGTACATTCCCTTTACATTGGGTACTAAAAGAATGGTTGAAAAATTAGACATGGCACAACACTTCAGTTTTGATAAAGCCTCTCTCCCCTCCCACTTCTGCATCCAGTAATTAATTTAGCCTGTAAATATAATTTCTGTAAAATGCCTGTAAAAACACATGTCTCATTAAAAAAAGCTTCTTCCAAGTATTATGAACCTGCCGAATTCATGACACTAACATTATAAACTGTGAAAACAACCACCCACAAATATTACACAAATCTACACTTGTGAGTGAAAGTGGAACTTCTCTTTAGCGGCGTTGAACCCAGAGTGAAGTCAACGTTTGCTGCTCTTTTGATCGATATCTGCACAGGGACTACCTTGAGTACTGTATTTATTAAAATATAGACCCGCATTTTTCTGTCCTTCTCGGCGCAGTTTTTTTTCTTCTTCTTTTTTTTAAAGTATAGATTATTTGCAATCAATACCAAATAAGGTAAACCTGTAATAGTATTGAGCATAATTTCCGAGCCTATCGCGCTAACCCAGGCGCTCACCCATGTCAGCTGCTGCTCCTAGCGCATCGGTGCAAAGCAGTGAAGCTAGACGCGCGCGCGCTGGTGAGAGGCGGCACGGAGGCATGCGACAAACATGACAATCAAGGGACCTCATCTGGAGTACAAGACCCTGGTTCTGTCTTATCACAGTAGCCGCCATCCTACTATCCTACTGATTTGTAATGTTTTCTTGCGATTTTTAGCTCCTGACATCACCGACATCGTCCGTAAATTTAGACAATGTCGGCTATCAACGGCCCACAGCATCAACCGGCCAGCGCGGTTGACGCTGGCCATTTCATTTTAATCTAAAGCACAGCCGACGCTAAGAGCCAAAGGGACCAATTAAATAGAATCAAAGCGCGAGATCATAGCATTCGTCCATCTTCATGTAGGTGTTCTTTTATCAACTAAACCAATCAAGTAGAGCGAATGTCCCGTGCCTTGACTCTTAGTGTGTGTGTGTTTGTGGTTGCTGTGTTCTAGCCTTCGATTGTGCTCTGACCTAAGATGACACAAACTGTACTGTGAGTAGAGACGCTATGAAATACATATTTCCACCATTTTCCTTTCCTCATACTTTTCTTTATATTAGAGTCGACCAATATTAAAATATTTTTATTTTTTGCTTGGCTTAAGTTCATCTCGGCGTAGGTATGGCGAAATCCTAGAAATAATGGCACTTTGGCGCAAGACGCAGTAGACTTTCATTCATGTGCAATTTGGCGCAAATGGTTTCTACTGAACTAAGCAGGTGTCCCAGTCTGTATTATGCACTGGTTGGTTCGGACAACTTTGAACTCCTTTCGCAGCAAAGTTTTTTTGGAAGGCTGCCAATCTGTCAAAAACCCATAATTTATTTCTCTTTCTCTCTATCTTTATTTTGGATTAGCAAGAAGAACTTTTAGAGCAGGAGTACATAGTCCATTGTAGTTAATCCCACTGCAAGTACAATGTTAAGGTTCATGTGTAGGCCAGTTCAGCTCAAAGACAATGTCTATTTGCTTTCCCACTCCAGTGCCACCACTCATTAGTCCCCCTGCACAGCAGACAGTTTTATTCCACTAGATGCTCAATTAGTTGTATAGTTCAGCTTAAAGAGTAACTGCAAAGAAAAAGAAATGTTTTTTTAAACAGCCTAATTGGGAAAAGCATCTCACAAAACAAATCTTCCGCGAAAAAACAAATGTTTTCTGGCAACATTGTTGCCACAGGACGTAATTAAGTCGGGGTCACAACTTCTCCACATTTGAAACTCCCGCTCCTTCGCCGCGCGCGGAGTGGCTGTTATGCGTCGCTCCGTGACGTATAGCAGCCACTACGTGACGTATAATACCAACTTTGTGGCGCGCGATTTAAAACGGACGAAATAGCCGCAAACTAATATCAGTCTCGCGCAATAAATAATGCTGTAAAAAAAAAAAAAAAAAAAAAATGTTGTTTTTGGCGGAAAAATTGTTTTGTGACATGCTTGTCCCAATTATCCCAATACACCGATCTCGCCAAGCGTTCGGCGCATGCGTGACGCCGCCATAACTTTAGTTCATAGGAGGCAGACGGCAGTGCACGAGAGGGCTCGAGCCGTCTCGTGCTCCACACGCGCAGAGCTCCAGCGAGGTTGTCGCACGTACAGAAAGACTAAAGTTCCCTCGATGCATTGCGGCAGCGGTGGCATGCTCAAACTGGCTGGTGAGATCGGTCTAATAGGCTGTTTAAAAATACTTTTTTTTTTTTTTGCAGTTAATCTTTCAAACCAGGCACAACAACAATAATGCTAACATAAGAGCCATTTCAGTGTAAAAAGCTCTTGAAGTACATGTTGATAATGAAGAGCATAATATGACCATGTATGAATGGGAATGTTAGGTATATAATGAAAGGAAAACCAACCAGTAGTTCACTGAAATAATGCAAAATGAAATAATTTTAGTACCAAACTGAAGGAAATTGTTCAAGTTCTGAAGGTTCAATTCGGAGAGTACAGTTTCTAATTCAGTTAGAACATACACATCGACAACATTTGTATGCATAGATTTACGATGATACTTCATCATCGTTAAGGTAATTCCCAAGCTTCCATTCATCTCTGCTGAGCCTAACTTAGTTTGAAATAAATGATCGATTTACATCGACTGCGTCCTCAAACAGCTGAAGGTGAACAATAGAGGTGGTGAGCGAACGAAAGATTTATACAAACATTAAACTTACTCTGAACCCCCACTACACTTAGTCGAGGAGATTCAGGGATGTTCTCGATATACCAAAATGTCTTAAAACGTAAGAAACGCTGAAAAAAAAGTAACAAACGGTCCAACACAGCTCCTCAGAACATCGCAGCATAAATATATCCTTGCGTAATGGCTGCGTTTCTATTTTGACAACATCAGTGCGAGTTCACTAAACTACATTTATTTAAATTATGTTTTGCCGACGCGCGCGCGGGAACCGTCCAGCTTTGCACGATGGCGAAGCGAGATACACAAAATAGCAGTGTCCATTCCGCAGCTGTCGCTTCTCCGCAGTACACCTATGACAAGTGAGAAGCACGCTCTTCAGAGCTCACTAGAGCTCCCAAACGGACCTCACAGCCTCAAACAATGAGAAATGCTCGGAAATGACAGTACTGTCAGCGTGCGATACAAATATAGAATCGAAAAGTACGTTATTCAAATTGACGGTCGAAATTTCTGAAAACTTACAAGGCTTGCCATAACGGGCGAGCAGTGTGGCGGAGCCTGAGCTCCGGTATTGGGGAGGAGGAACTAACTTTGGGCGCAATATTTGCACATATTCCTCACATTTTGATGAAATGTAGCGGAAGGCGGCCGAGTGTGCACTTTGGAGCAGTTTGGCACAAACGGCGCAGCAACTACATCACAGCACGTCTGAACTGCAAAAACAACTTTTGAGATTTTTTTTTTTTAATGTCAAAGGAAGGACATTTTGGTTTGCATGTCCTGCCTTTAAACCACGAGTCTCACGAGCATGCTTTTTAGTCAAATTCCTGAAAACGTCAGTTTTCTTCTCTTGTTCGGACATTCAGAGTTAGCACCATGGCCAAACACTGACAAGATTTATCCCTGTTCTAGAGATCGGTAAGGCTTGTCTTCACAGACACGCATGCGTCCGCTTTCTGTCGCGCATGCCCTTTTTCTTTTTCGGGGGAAAAAATTACGTTTTTCAGCTACTTTCGGCCGTCGTAAAACGATTACAACAGGCTCTTTAGTAATACGGCTGAAGTTCGATGGCCTTCGCGTCTGCCCCAGAAGAGCAAACGCGAAGGCTAGCTAACTTTAGCCGTATTACTAAAGGCGGGGTGCATCGTGCACAGCAGAGTGTGCCGCGAGCGGTATACTCACGCTTTCGATGGGGACCACGAGGAAGGAGCCTCCTCCTGCCGTCTCGGTGACCACCGCCAGGAATTTGGGGTTGACGGCGCAGAAGTAGCTGTCGTGGGCATTCTTGGTGATCTTGAGGCACTCGTAGCACTGGTCCTTGCGCGCGGGGCTGCCGAACACGTGCCGGAACTTGCTGCTCCGCACGCCCCTGAAGCTCGCCTGGGGCAGACACGGAAACGGGGCAATCCGGGGACATCCTAGCTACCACGCTCGACAATGGGCACGTCGAGTGTGACATGGGATCTCGGAAAGTCGGGCAAGGAAACGGTAGCAGAGCTAGAGATGCACTCGCACTGCTGATCATGCTCATCGTGTAACCACCAAATACTACGATGCATTTTTTTATAAACATCATCTGGACTGTTGGTGAAGTCTACGAGAAACATTCCTGAACTATATAGCTGAATTATATATCTTTTGACACCCTTCCACACATTTTGTTTCGAATGAATTACCTAACGAAAATCTGATATTTGGAGCTGGGGCAGTATGCGCAAATTTAGCTTCAGAAACTTGGTAACTGAGTGTGCTGAGTTTCGCAAAGCGTTTGTTTAATTCGTGCCTACTAATTTAGTTCTACGTGCTAATGCTAAAATGATGAAAGTACCGAAGCATTCGAGGGGATCAATTTGGAAATTCGGGCTCATAGGTGTCAAATGCCGAAGCCTTAATAAGCCTCCCCTACTACGTTTGCGCTGCTAAAACTTTTGTTCGGATATTGAACCTTCCGGATCAGCAGAAGCTTTCTGTGAACCAGGCTGGTGTCTTGATAGAAAAAGAAGTAATCACTACAGATAAAACAATAACCTCGCAATACTTTGAACGCCATTTGTTCGTCTAGTATTACATAATTTTTCAGTCGCACTAGAAATAGGTGTATAAGCAAATCCCAAGCACGAAAATTACCAAATGGCGACCACACAGGATAAAGTGCATTCCCAGCTGGTCACGTGATCCTACAAAGCAGTGTCCAAATTGAAAACCCCCGAAACAAATTATTTTCAAAATAAGTTTCCTGAAATAACTCTTTATAATCATGGAGCTGCCTTACGATACCAATAGACCTATTGCTGAATTACCCAAGCATCAAGGAGAATGCAGGGATTGGTGTTCCACGCGCCGCACGTGCTGGCCTGAACAGTAGTAACTTTTCCAAAGCAAATACCTAAAAGAAATTGTATCTTGCACGCGCGTTCGTCAACGCTTTATTTTGGTTATGTACTTCGGATGTTCTATACGGGGAAGGTGTGCGCGTGTGGCACGTGGAACATCAATTCCTGCATTCTCTTTGATGCTTGGGTAATATAGCAAATGGTCTATTTTGACAACCTTTGCGTTTTATTTATGATATCCAGCACCTGCGATAAGAGGAATGATGGGTTAAATTACACCTAGCTTGCCTATGCTTTTATTCTTCCAAAATAATAGGTACAGGCAGGAGAAAAAAATAAAATGTGGACGCAAGGTATGTAGCAAAATATCTTGCGAGGCAGTAAAAAAAAAAAAAGCTGAATTTCTTTAAATGTACGGTTATAATGTCATTACTCGCAGGGAATGACGACCCATCCTACTTAAATTAATTTAAAGTTGAATTGCATCTGACGAATCTGTACAGCACTGACAACAATTTCCCGCGCACAGACTCTGGGAGCATTTTGTACGTGCCACAGCGACTATGGTGCTGTTCTTTGATTACCACTGCGATGAAGTCGCCAATGAGAGATGAAAGCACGACTGTACTTTATTCCGAATAAAAATAGGAAACTCTATCGTCACAGGCAGGATGAGAACGACGAAGAAATCTTTCAGTTGTCCCGCGTCCAGCGCGAACTTCCCACTTTCAAGAACACTTGGACGTCTCGTTGGCTTCGAGCGCGCACGCGCGGCCAACGAACGGCAGGAGGAAACAAGCGCTTGCTGGAGCTAGGCCGGGCATTGGAAAGAGAAGCCGTTCTCATGTTGCCAGTGGATAGAACACTAATGTGACTCTGTGCCGTGCATTTGAGCACACATCCGATCATGCATTTCTTTAGCTCCGACGTTAATCTGCCTCTCAAATGATGCCGGAATCATCTAGGACAGAACACGAAGAAAAGCTGAGAAAGGATCATTCATGCATAGACACATAGAATACGAACACACAGAAAGGGGGGTACTTAGATGTCAGTAAGGTCTCCCCAAAAACCTCAGAATTAGAGGGAGAAAAAACTCAATAATTACAGAGGTGACGCGGAATAACTGAGCACCAAACGGTGGAGAAATGCAAATCTGAAGAGAGGAATGCCTGGCTGGAATCAAGCATGTCCTGTTTTTGTTTTACTTCTTTTTTTTTTTTTACCTGCATGTGTATATGATTCAGATCACATTTCCCTCTCGTGGAACGTCAGTCACGTGATGTTTCAAGAATACTATTTGTTAGTTAATCTTTCCATGATACAGTGCGTTCCTTGCTGACCTCGATATGCTACCCTGTTCGAATTAATCATAATAAAAAGGCTATCGTCTGTGACAGGTTAAGGGAAAGCTCCTCCTACCTCTTTTCACTCTAGCAAAGCGAACGCCAGAGAGAAGGTGACCTGCAGCGTTCGCTCTGCCAAGGTGGAGAGAGGTGGGAGGAGTTTCCGCTTTAACCTGTCACCAACTAAAGCCACTCTTCAATCTCCCATTCTTCTCCCTTATGCTTATGCTCTTTCATTTCGGTCCTCTTCTTCAGTAGAGACTTTTATCCTTTGCTGAACGACGTGCAAAGTCACCGACAGCTCAAGAAACACAGAGCATGACCAGAACATCGTATTATAGTTCCGCGGTCAATCAGATGGCGGCATCTGCCAATAAACAAAACAAACAAAAGGTTTAAGAAGCCTGAATATAACACGCCTTTTGTTTCTTAAAATGTCGGTGACTACAGTTGCTTTTAGTTTCGTTCCTCTGGTTGGACCCACTTTCCTCCTCATCCACACGCTTGCCTTCCAACTCCTCTGCTCCCGAGGCCTTCGTGGCTTTTGTTCACCCCCACGACTTTCTTATTATTCCAATGACTCCCCCCAGACACGACCACGCGATCCCCCCCCCCCCCCCCCCCCCCCCCCCCCCTATTCAGCTATGTGCCGGACCAAACGTTGTCAAGCTCGTTTAATCAGCTCTGCGTGCCGCAGGCCCGCTTGATTCGCGCTACGTCGCGAGAAGCACGTGAGCCGCGTAACTTGGTCGCGTGATCCGGTTTCGTGGTGGTCAGGACCCTCGTTACACCATAAATGAGCGAACGAGCATGCGGGACGGACAAAGAAACGAGTACGGTGTTAGTGCATGCTTTACGGAGGGTTAGTGTACGCACTATCGACACGTTATACCTTCGGTCACAACAAGGTACGCTGCGTATCGAGGATGATACTCCAAAAATTGTACATCGATCGCCTGACCATATGATGAACTCTGCAGGCAACCTCTTGTGGCAAAAGCTACCACCTCCTGCTATTTTGGCGCGTGTGTTTGAAAACCGCGTTACTGTCGGCGTCTAGAGGAAACTAGCGTCATCCGTAACGAGCGAAAAGAGTGATGGATGGAGGAAAGGTTAAGTTCTCCGCGACGCTTCTATGCCAGTCAAAGCGCGCGCACTGGCCGTGAAACGTGACCGGAGCGATCGCTGCGAAGATACGGCTCCTCTGACGCTGGATTGTTTTCCTACCACCGTGAGCGGAGACAATCGCTCGTTGACGTTACGTCGGGGTATAAACAACTTAGAACGGGAACATCAAAGGAGCCTCGCTGTCATCAAGAATGATAATAAGTGAGTGCGCTGAAGAGAAAAAAATTAACGAATCTACGCGCGTAGTCGGGCTTTGTTCGCTTTGTCCTTTAAGGGCTACTGTTATTTCATGAAAGAACATTCTGTAGTTCCTCCACAAACATTTTAACAGTAATTACATCTCAACCCGACTTCCTATCTTGTCCGCTACGCAACAAGAAAAACATTTTTTTTTTTTGATTTTTTTTTTTTTTTTTTTTGCGTAGAGGCACACCTTGTTTATCTCCGCATATTGTGGGCAATGATTTTGTTATCTGCTATGCACTACAAGCGGCATCTTTAAAATAGCATCATCGACAAAGCGCAATTTTATGCTAACGTCATTCCAGCTACCTCCCATTTTATTCTGAATGCCCTTTCGCGGTGTCAGTAATGTTCTGCCTTGGGGAGAGCACATAATGTTATTAGTAGGTGTACAAGAAGCGGACCCATGCAGCGGGGAAGGTTAGGGTTACTATGGCAAGGCAAAACGAGGCACACAAAAAAACAGGAAAGTGGGCAATACCTGTGAGTTTCCTTTTTCGCTCATTCCTGGGGAATATTCCAACATATCACTGTCCGGAGAAAGCGAAGAAAAAAACCAAAGAATAAGCATAAGATGTCTCATGAGAGACAACAAAATAAAACACGCAGCAAAAGAGCGTACAAATAAATAAATAAATAACAAGTGCGAACCGAAAAATAACGCAACAAGCTTAGCAATAACGTTGGAACATATTTACTTCTTTTGCGTTAATGTATTTAGCATTGTTCGTCCTTCAACTCTAAAAGGTGTGTGCCACCTCGCTCTGGTGTGATTCTCACCTAACTTAATATACAACTCTGTCAAAGCTACTGGCGCTTGGCTTCATCTATGGTTGCGTTTGCGCGAGAACGCGGACAAATTATCTGCGGGAAGAAACCCCATGCTCGTGCCAGCAGCTTTGACAGCGTTGTGCACTACATATGGAACAGAGAATATTCGTGCGACAGTGCTGCGGCGAAGCGAGACACGCGGGGTCGCGATGTCTACTGCGCGGGTGTCGCTTCTCGGAACAACGCCAGTGAGATAAAAAGCGCACTCAACGGAGCGAAACTCCACTGCTCGTACCATTTATACAATAATCTAGAGCAGGGTGTCCAAACCCCGGCCTGCGGGTCAAATCCGACCCACGGAGGTATTCCGACCTGCCCGCGGCTCACCGCGGTTCTTCCACTGAAGCCCGACTCGCGGCCCGCTTCCAGCAGGCCCGCTGTTACCGGCGCAATAATAAGCGCGCGCAAAGAAACGCCACCACAACACGGACCAACCGCGTAAAAAAAAAACAAAAAAAACACGAGAGAAGACTGTTTATTGTAAGTTGTGTCCTCGTAATATTATTCATTGGACAGCGTCATAACCAGCAACACCGTATCGAGACTTTTGCTGTTCTGAAGCACGGAATGATTTAGAATTATTATTACTATTTTCCCGTTTCATATCTGTAACTACGCATATTAAAATTCCTTCGCGTTTCCATGTAAACATTATGCATGGCGTCCTGTGTCTTATCTATTGCACATTGCCAGCATCAGGTCTCCCGTACGAAAATGTCAGACACAGGCCGATATGAAAAATGCCGGTTCCGCCTGGAAATGCGCAGTTCCAGACGGGATACAAACTGGTGTTCCAATTTTCGATCCAGGCGGAACCGGCTGGTTCCAGTGGCGGTGTCCCAATTTCAGACCCAGGCGGTGCTCCGCCGGAATTCCCGCTGCGCGCACCACTGGATTCTACAAAAGCATTTCGCGCGATGCCCTTAGCCGTTACAACCGAGAGATCGTCGCGATTTCAGACTTAGGCGGACTGGGCCTGAAATCGCGACGATCTCTCACTTGTAACGGCGGCTAAGGGCAGCGCGCGAAATACTTTTGTAGAATCCAGTGGTGAGCGCAGCGGTAATTCCGGCGGCGCACACGGTCCTCCAGGCGTCGTCACCAAACACGGAACACACACACAGCACGCACAAACACGGGTCCATATCACAAGAGCGAATGACATTTTAGCGAACGGCGACATTTGAGCGAATGGTCGTTTTAGCGAATAACGGGGGCGCGCGTTAACCCATCCGTCGCGCTGCGCTTTACGCCGCTTCACGGCGACAGTCTACGGCAACTCATTACAAAAATATGAACGCACTTGGCCCACCCCAAAAACGCCGCTTCGCGGTGTCCGACTATTCGCTAAAGTGTCGTTCGATGAAACGTGGGCGTTCGCTAAAACGTCATTCGATCAAGTGAGTGCCTCCCGTCACCAAGCATACCAGCGCCAAGCGCATACAGATGCCGAGCCAAAGTGCAATGGGTCGGCAGCTTCACACAGTATGAAGATTCAGAGCCGAGGTCAGTGGGTATCCATCTAGGGAAAACGATGGGCGCGCCAGTATCCGTGCGCCCACAGCGCGAACGTCGCCGCCGGGCGAGCGCCGACCGACTGTTCGACGAGAGGGAAGAACCTAAACTCTCGGAGCGCTGCCGCCAACTGCAACAGACAAAGCGAGGCGCGCGCGCGCGTGGAGAACGCCCGCTCGCAGCGCCTGCGTAGCAGATGCACCTGTTCCTTTCAAACAGACTCGGAATACGGAATCCGGGAGCCGGAACGCGTACTGACGTAATCACTTCCAGCCCCCGTTACGTATCCAAGTCTTCACGGTTTGATTTAAACGGCGCGCGCGGCGCGCTTCCCTCCTCCGCCCTCCTTGCCGCCCACGTGAACGCCGGTGGCAAGGAGGACGGAGGAGGGAAGCGCGCCGCGCTGATTGGCCGCGTAGAAAATACGGAAACTTACGTCACGACACAGAAAGGAGAAAGTTGAAAAATTTTAATCTCTTGACTACGGGTGCCGGAAACCGTAATTACATCACCGCCCGTACGGAGGGAGCGCTGAGGTCACTACGGGTTCCGGCACGAGACCGCAAAAGTTCCCCGCCGACCCCCCCCCCCCCCCTCCCCCCTCCTCCAGTGACTCATGTGCGCGCCCGCTGGATGGGAGCAAACCCTACTGGAACCAAGGGGAACGGATCGGATCCATTCATCACCGTGCTGTTCCAGTGCGTTGCGTCTCACTGGATCCGACCAGTTACACCCAGAACCGCGCCGCACCAGGTCGGATTCGCGCGGATCTGAACTGGAACCGCTCCGATCTGACATTTTCGTACGGGCTACCATTCAAATTAGTCTTTTGCCCTTTCGGAACATGCCGAAGTTTCTATGCACTTCGATTTATGTCTGGTGAGTTTTTTTTTTCTGGGTCCCAATTATTGTACAATGTCATAATGAACTAAATATTGAATTAAAAAATAAAGTATATATATTCATCCACCTTATATTCTTCATTTTTAATGTTTACTATGACTCAATATTGTATTTAAATGCTTATCTATAAGTATCTACTTATTTATTTTCTGGCCCTGGAGACAGCGACAGATCCCCGATCCGGCCCCTAGGTGAAAAAGTTTGGGGACTCCTGATCCAGAGAGAAAGGAGGCATGCACTTTTGGTCGCTTTGGAAGAGTGAGGCATAGGTCGCCGGATATCGGTGGTCCCGATGGAACCATATTTCTGGCGATGCTTTGATACGCACGAAGAAGCAGAAAAACACCACTTGGAGGAAGGTAGTGTCCTTCTAGCCTTGTTTTGCACAAAAACACTGGCGTCACGCGTTGTATAAGAATAAATAAAGTTGACGAGCACTCGAACAACTTCAACACGTGGCGACAAAACGAACACGCCTAATTTCTCTCTCCGCTTTTCTTTCGTATCGTTTGACACGGCAAGTTAGCGGCTTTCTCACCGACCGTACCGTCCGCATCATGAGAGCGGACGGCAAACCATCCGAAGCCTACCCGGTCCGCCGAGGCACTCCTCGAGGCTCCATCTCGTCCCCCACCCTCTTCAATTTGGCTACGAAGGGTATACCCCCTTCCCAAACAAAATCACCGGTCTACAACGTGCCATATATGCCGACGAGCAAAAATCCACCCTTCAGGCTGGCCTGGACGTAATCAACTCCTACACTCGCACCCCGGGTCTCACTTCCTCTCCCGAAAAGTCGGAGTACATCAGCATCCTCAACACCTACACCAATAAAGCTGAAGCCCACCGCGCCTTCAATCAGTTGAGCATGGCGAACGAGTCCGTTTCCCGCCGCAAAGCCGTACGCATCCTCGGGCTTATATGGCAACAAGACGGCGGGGGCACCGACTGGTTACGACGCACCCTAACACGGGTTGGGCAGATCACCCACACGATTACCCGTGTCAGCAAAAGACGTTCGGGTCTTTGCGAACATAAACTGGTCAAAATCGCGGAGCCAACCATCTACTCGCGCATTGTATGTATGGCCTACCTTATACATCACCCTCGCCTGGAAGCCGCGCTTCGCAAATGCCGTCCCCCCTCCCCTCCCCAAATCGAGATGGAAGTACCCCGGTATGACCATAGCACTCTTGCCCAAGCTGCTGCCCTACAGAACACAATTAACGAAAAGTTCCAAGCACACCAGGAGGCATAAGAACATCGCCTCCACACCTCTCATCGAGGCCATACTAAGTTACAACGTCCAGAACCTGTCTACTTTACCTTCTAACCCTACACGATTAAATGTCATCCCCAGACGCACCATCCTGCCCATGCCCTAAAAATGGATACGAAAACCCACCAAAGACGCCGGCAAAACTACGTGGACGCTGGTCATACCCCGGTCGGAACCACCACGGCGAGTGTCGGGCCTCGCGATAACATCGTGCGTCCCCACGCGGCAGTTCGTTCCTCCTCCGACGCTGAAATCATCGCCGTAGCGCAAGTCATTTGCCGCCTTTCCCACACCTCCCCAATCATAACAATTCGAAGCGATAGCCAAAGTGCCCTTCGGGCTTTCTCGCAGAAACCCACATCCATGCCTCATTAGCTTCTCATACGACACTCGCCCCTCCCTACGTGTCCTACTAGAGTGGTTGCCTGGTCACCGGGGGATCTCAGATGATGAGCAAGCTCATGCCCTCACTCGTGAAGCATCAACACCAAGCGCCCCCACACGGTGGCCGGACACCTACTGCCCTACGCACTGCAGCACCGCGTGAACACAGAAAACAGCACCGCGCGAGGCTGAGACGCACCTTCCCTGTCCCGCCCCCCTCCTCCTCTCGTCATGACTCTTCCCTCATTAGAGAGGCCCGAATATCCTTTCCAACGACGCCATCCAAAGCCGCGTTGAACAACGTCGCGGCTACCCATCCTCTCTCATGTGTCCCCATGCTCTCCGCACCTACTGGACCTGTCCCCGCGCGCAGTCATGCCCATAGTACCCTAACCTATCCCTCCCAACCAATAGACTACTTCCATAAAGCCCTGCATGCAACACGGCGCGCGTTGCACTCTGGGAACTAGTTGGCCAGGGAGGAGTGTGGCATGGTTTCGGTTTCGATCGACACGTCGACAAGAGATTACACACAGAGCGTGGACTATTAACGGCCGTTATCTGATGTTTTCTGGTCTCGAGAGCGTCATTTGTGGTCTCTAAACTAACCTAAATGGC